GACCCAGCATGGCAGAGGTTGTGCAGGTTCTTGAATTGATCAGAAATGGAATGGAATCCTGAGAGAATTCGTTTAGTTTTTGCAGAGATATTGTGCAGTGTTTACTTCATTCTTTTGTGACTTGTCAGTTTTGTTGCTAAAATTGGTAAAAGTTCTATTGACCGGGTCTTCTCTAACCTTAAACCGATCCTGGATTGGTATTGTCATCAGAACAAACCAAATAATCAAATTGCAGAATCAATTTTGAGATTTACATGTTTGACAAACTTTTCTAATGCGGTTCATAACTACAGGCACATCTCTCTCAGACAAATTACTGAAACAGATACGGAACCATCCTGGTTCGATACAGTGACAACAAGATCCAGGTATGACATTGATCTTGCCAATGTTCAAGAGCTTGTTCCACAGCTCGATCTCGCCTTTTTCGCTGTAAGATGAAATCAATCCTCGCATATCGGCCCAACAGTAGAACCCTCCATTGCTTTTTGTGCACTCGATCCCTAACTCTTTCAACCCCTTCACGAATTCCATGTAGATACTCTGCAATCTCTGCCTGTTGGTTTTCACAAGTCTCTGAACATTCTTTGGATTGGAGATTGCCGATATCAGCAAATGTTGGGTTGGCGATGAGACAGGTGAGAGCGTCGTGAGCTTTCTTGAAGCGGATAAAACACTTTCGTTGAACGAGTAGATAGCAGCGGATCTAAGTCCCGGGAAAGACAAGTCTTTCGAGAGGTCATACACGATATGAACTCTTTCTCTGTCGATATTCTCTTCCGTGTCAACTATTTCAGCCATGCTAACAAACTCTCCTTCTTCTCCGTGGACTGACCCAGCGAAGATTTCGTTTGAGATTATATGAATGTTCCTCTCACGGGCAAAGTCCAAAAGCGCATAGAGATTCTCTCTGCTCAGTAGGCTTCCCATGGGATTCGAAGGATTCGAGATTATAATGCCTCGGATTCTGACACCTCGTTTCTTGGCTTGATAGAATGCTCGATCAAGCACGACCATCGACATATTGAAATTATCCGCACTTCTACAAGGAACGTGTATAATGTCAACTCCTGTTCGCCATTTAACATCCCCATCATATCTGCAAAAAAAGAATGTCCCCATTCAGTATCTCTCGTAGCATTAGCATCGGGTCAAACAGTATAGACATAAAGTTATACCCGGGGGAACACGGAGTTGGAACAAGGAAGGCGTTTCCTGAATCAGCTAAGCAGAAGGAAAGAATCTCAATAGCAGATGATGCACCAGAAGTTAACACTAACTGTGATGGATCGAAAGACACCGAATTTTTGGTTGCTTCAGACATAAATCCTGCCACAGCCTATCATATAATCCAGAAAACTTCTCTCAAGAACACATACAGATCCTCAAACAAAACACATGAAAACATCTCAAGAAGATTCAAAAGATGTCTCAAAACACTCCAATGAACAAGATTAATGGAAAAAAAGTTTAGGGTAAGAGAGAACAAACCATTTTCAGTTCCAAAAGTCCATCAGAAGGCTCATAAGAAGCAATGCCACTAATACTCAATCCATCTGAAATTGCTTCTTTTGGATTCTCCAAAACCCAATCATCCAAACTCAACTATTGTAAGAAGAAAGAGAACAGTCAAATCCATAAAAATCACAAAAAAATTCAATTTGTTTTTTTTTTGAAGAAATTATGATCCAAACCTTGGTGTTTTGAGATAAACCAAGTTGGATAACTCCGTACGGGTTACCCAACTCATCATACGGATCTTCCTCGACCCGTTTTTGACCAACGTAGTAAGGCGAAGAATCTCCACCTTTGAGTACACAATTAACCCGACCCGAAACCGAAACAGCTCCACCGGAATTTCTCGGCGAGAGAAGAATCCGAGAAAGAGAACGAGGTAAACCAGTAAGCTCCGTGAGATGACCAGCGGATTGTGACCGGGTCGGATCGGGTAAACCCGAATTTGGAGAAGAAGAAGAAGAAGCTGAGGAGTTTTGTTCACCGGAATTATCGGATTCGTCGTTTTTCCGATTTCGTTTTAGGTAAAACTGAAGAAAGTAGAAGAAAGCACAAGGAATCACAGAGCCTAAGAATAAACCACCACGACCTTGTACCACACCTTGTAACGGAACAATAACCCTCATCGCCGTGGTTCTACCTCCGCCGCCGTTACCGGAATTCTTATCGGAATCGGAATTGGAGCTCCGGCTCCGGTTTGGTTCGGTACGGGTCATTGTAGTGAACTCATGTTTTTAGGTTAATAATATTTTTAGTGTTTGAAAATCAAAATCGGAGCCTCTTTGAAGGTTTTTATCGGGTCGGGTTAACGGATTATTGAGTCCGACGGCGAAGAGATTTGAAAGAGAAAGAGAAAGTTTTGATTTTTAGGTTAAAAGGAAATAAAATTCGAATTTGTTTTTTTTTTTCCTTTTGGATTTTTGTTTAATTTCTGATCTGTTTTATTTCGTACGCTCGTTTTTGGGTCGTTGAGATTTTTTGGAGGGAGAGAGGAAATATGCAAATTACTATATTATCCTTTTTCTTTTTTAACTGGGTCCTGAAGTTTTTGTATTCTCTGGAAACTTTTCTGTCTTTTTCTGTTAAAGTTTCATAATAATTTAATAAACTTGGAAAAAGTGATTATTTAATTTGTATGTATATGTGTTTTTTTGGGATATGTAATTGGATTTATATGTAAGAAAATAGGTTATTTGTATGTTTTAGATGTGCGGTCCAAATGGATAGTTTTGATGGTGAATGAGTGAAATGTTGAGTGGTATTGACTATTGACTAACTGAATCTGAATCTAAAATAATTTGAGTAGATTCCTGACATTGTAAACAAATCTCTGGTCTTGATGTTTTTTTTATTCTTTTACATATGAAATGTAATTTTGAATATTTTAGTTGCTAACTAAAACATAAATAAGGTAATTAGCTAACATGATAATGATAATTACTTGTTCATAGTAATGGTGTAAAGTGAGGCTTGGAAAAATTGGAACACAAAATCGAGGAAGGCGAATGTTATGTTGAATTGTGGATTATGAAATTCTGGAAATTAATAATTAAAAATTAGTCCTATCAAAATATTGAGAAGTTTTAGTTTTCAAGAGTTAACAAAACTGGTGAACATAATAAAATAAGGCTCTCTTTGTGTGGACAAAGTAAATGAAAAAAAAAAACACAAATCTGCTAAAATATGAAACAACTGGCTAGTAGATAGTAATCTATATCATCTTCTTTAATATATGGTCGAAAATTTATATAGTCCAACCAAAAAAGAGGCTATATCGAATAAAGTCTGCATATTTCCCCGAAAATAGCATAAGCCACAAATCTTATAGGAGATATCCTTTTATACATATGATATAAAATGACAATTATTTTCGTGAAAGAAATCAGCAAATGTATTTGAAACAGTTGGCATTGCAAAATGAGAGACAGAAGTTGATAAGTAGACCAAATGGATCTGGCTTAGTTTGTGTTTCAGCCTCAAGTTGAGATTGGCTGCGGTTTTAGTCGTTATATGTAAAACATGAATCATCATGTGGGGCTCCTCACTTGTGCTTTCGTTTAAATACATTTCTTGCTTCCATTTTTGAAATAATCATAGCCACATGAAACCCTATTTATGTGTTAAAGTTTAAGAAACTCAAGATTGCAAGAGACTGAATCATATACCTTATGGGCCTATCTCTCCAAAGTAATTGGGCCTGGAATTATAAGAAAAATAAGAATGTTTAAGTTGGGCCTGGGATCAATATTATATTGATGTACTTGTTGATTTTTTTATTTTTTTGTATCATTAAGGACGTGGTTGTCGTTGTTCATCAAATTGAAGGACTTTGTGCGTAATCTCAATATACAAAACTAGCCCTGGGAAACCAAACCGAACCGAAGTTTGTGCAAATTGGTTCGGATTTGGTTTTAGCATATAAACAGATCAGACAACATACAAATTAGAGTCGGGTAACCATTTGATTCGGTTCCAAAGCGGAAAACTGAACGGCTGACCGAAATAACCAAAGTAAGTTGGTTTCTAAGAGACCCAAATTACCCAATTTACCAAAATTTTCCTCGTAGTTCGGTTTGATTTGGTAACAATCTAAATAACCGAACTAACCGGTTACAGAACCGAACTGATGTCTTAATCGATTAATTTTGGCTAACTTTCAAAATCCTAACCAACCAGAAAACCGAGAAACCCGAACCATTTTACACGAAAAAAAACGAATTCGCAAAACCAATGGAAGATGACTTTTTAAATTTACAATGTTTTATTAATTCTTAAAAATGAACCCATGTAAAATCAATCACTTGACCAACCGTTTTTGTGTTCTACAATTTACCAAAATACATTTGGGTCTTGAAATCTATATTTGGGCTTCTTACATAATTAAATGACATAGGTTAATTCATTAATCAGTAGCCCTTTGAAAGACGGTATCGTTCCGATGAACCAGACCATCAGAGTTACAAACGTTTTTAGTTTCAATTTTCTTTAGAAACTATTAAAACTGAAACCAAAAAACCTCAATTGTAACAAAATTATAAAGTTGATTATTCATCTTTAAATTGAAGTATGGTATAAATTTATTTTGTTAGATCTTAATGTTATTTATAGCTTAAACTTTAGATCTTAAACTTCAATTCAACAACTTTATTAATTAAGAATTTTTTTGAACATTAAATTAAGCCTGTATTCATATTGAAAAAAAATATAAATTAGCATATCATATTAAAAAAAAATATGTCCTGTTAACGAAATAAAAAAAAAAGTAGAGAAAATATAGAAAAACCAGTACACTTTTTCACCTTATTTAAGATATTTTTTGCAAATAAAAACAAAAATCAAAATTTTCACATAGTCAATTTTTATTTCTTACCAATTTCGATCCTAAATTCCTAAATTTAGTCATTAATGCATTTATTAATCAATTAATTAAAGAAGGTATTAAAAAAAAAAAAAAAACTAAACATAAATCTTTACAACAATAAAAATAAGTCAGTCACTTTGCCGTCCACTGAGTAAAAATCAAATCTTTCTCTCTCTCTCTCTCTCCGACGGAGAAAAAGTCTCCGACTGTGTAAAATGATGAACCATGGTGGTGGCGGCGGCGGAGGTAACGGAGGAGGAGGAGACGCTGAACGTATGCTAGCTCAAGCAGAGAAGCTACTCTTAAGCGGCGACTTAAACGGTTCAAAAACCTACGCGATTCGCGCATGCGAAGCCGATCACTCACTCGTAGACCACGCCGAGTTAATCCTGGCCGTCGCCGACACTCTAATCGCCGGAGAATCACGAATCAGAGGAACCACTTCCGATCTTCCCGACTGGTATGCCGTGCTCCGTCTCGTTCGTTTAACTCACAACCCTGAACTCGTCGCGACTCAGTACAGTAGACTTGCCGTGTTGCTTAACCCGAGTCGGAATCGGTTTCCGTATTCTGAACAAGCTTTTAGGTTAATCTCTGATGCTTGGTATGTTCTCTCTGATCCTTCTAGAAAGACATTGTATGATAGAGAATTGCATCTGAGTCAATTTGGGCAACTCGGTCAATTAGGGTTTCAGCTTTTCAATCAAACGCCACAATCTCAGTCTCAATCTCCTCAACATCATCAGCAACAATCTCAATCACCTCAACATCAGAACCAGACGGTGTCGTTTCAGAATCAGCAGTTACCATTTCAGCTTCATCAACCACATTTTGCTCAAGCTGTTCAGACTCAGTCTCAGTCCCAGCAGCAGCAGCAGCAGCAGCAAAGGTCTCAATTTGATCAGCAGTTATTGCAGGAGCAACAACAAGCATCTTGGAGGCAACAGTTTGGTCAAGAGCAAAGTAGTGGTTCGAGTAGTGATTGGAAAAGACCAGTGGAGGAAGAGAGGTTGATTAATTTGAACAATGCAACTGAAAGGGTTCAGTCCAGTCGTCGTTTTGCTGAGCCGGATCGGCCGCCTAGTAGATCATTTGAGGGATCTTCTCATAGGACTCCTTCAACAGATTTGACATGGGCGTCTAAGCCTACTCCGGTGTCTGAGTCTGTACCATGGCAATATTCGGAGCCGGCTAGACAGTATCAGTCATCTAGTAGGTCTAGTGAAGCTGCTCAACTCTCGCTGCTGCCTTCTGTTTCTGACTCACCTCATGCATCTCAGCCGACTCGCTCGAATCAGTCACATGCAGTCTCTAAACCGCAGCCTGTTTCTAAGCCACATCCGCCATTCCCAATTTCTCAGCCACCACCGACCTCTAGCCCATTTCCATTGTCTCAGCCACCATCGACCTCTAAACCGTTTCCGATGTCTCAGTCGCAAAACTCTAAGCCATTCCCTGTGATTCAGTCATCGCAAAAGTCTAAGCCTTTGCTGGTTTCTCAGTCATTACAAAAGTCAAAGCCATTGCCGGTCTCTCAGTCATCACAAAACTCTAACCCATTTCCGGTGTCTCAGCTATCATCAAACTCTAAGCCATTCTCCATGTCTCAGCCACAACCGGCCTCTAACCCATTCCCGGTGTCCCAACCAACACCAAACTCTAAGCCATTCTCGATGTCTCAACCATCATCGACTGCTAGGCCTTTCCCAGCATCTCAGCCACCAGCAGCCTCTAAGTCATTCCCCATCTCTCAGCCCCCACCAACCTCTAAGCCATTCCCAGTGTCTCAGCCACCTCCGGCCTCTAAGCAATTTGTGTCTCAGCCACCCAATACCTCTAAGCCAATGCCGGTATCTCAGCCACCTACAACCTCTAAGCCGTTGCCAGTGTCTCAGCCACCACCGGTATTTCAATCAACCCGTCCCTCTCAGCCGCCTGCAGCCTCTAGTTCTCCTTCTCAACTGCCTCCTGTCTTCAATTCAGCACAATCATTCCAGCCACCTACTGTCTCTACTACTCCCTCTCCGGTTCCAGCAGCCTCTACTATTCCATCTCCGGCTGCGCCTGCGCCAGTTTCTCAGCCAACTCGGGTTTTTAACCAAACCCCAACTGCTGAACAGACTCCAAAGAGTGGGGATGCAAGATCCGATTCTGAGCCGGAGGTTCCGAGTTTCTGGACGACTTGTCCATACTGCTACGTGCTTTACGAGTATCCCGTCATTTACGAGGAAAGGGTGCTTAAATGCCAAACTAAGAGCTGCAGGAGAGCTTACCAGGCAGTGAAGGTTCCTTCTCCGCCGCCAGTTACTGAAGAAGATAGTTACTATTGCTGTTGGGGTTTCTATCCAATAGGATTCTCAGAAGTGACTAAAATCCCAGTCAGTGGTTTACCCAAATCAGCACCCAAAAAACCATCTCCAAAGGTCTACTATTATGACGACGAAGAAGAAGATGATGATTCATACATAGATTCTGATCCTAGTGAGGATGATGACGACGATGACTGGCTGATGAATGGTACAAAAAGAAGGAAGAATGTGAAGCAAAGTAAAGCTAAAGCATCAACCAAACCAAAACGTCAAAAAGGAATCGAGGTTGATTGAGTAAAGTCGGGTAGGGAACAGAAAAAGAACAACTTCAGTAAGGCTCTCTCTGTTCTTCATTTCTGGCTCTGTTGTTGTATTTTAGTTGCAGTAGTTTCTCTTTATGTAGTGTAAGGTAAATTTGCTTGCTTCCGCGGTTTCCATGTTCCATGTTCCGCGGTTTCCATGTTCCATGTTCCGCGGTTAAGTTTAGTAGCAATGGCTGTAACTTGTAATGTTTTGGTACCTCATTTTGGATTTATGTAGTTTCTGGAAAAACTTGGAGAAGTATCATTTTGATGAGATTTTTTTTTTTTTTTTTTTTTTTCTCATCTCAATAAATTTCTAAAGACGAAATGTTGTTCTCTCTGATTCATGTAAAATACGTATTTACATGATATAACAATCTTTCTATTTCTCCATTCCTATTGGATCTGTCCTCTCAATTACTATGCTAATACCATAATAATGCACCAGAGGCTCTCCATTGAGTCATTAAGCTTCATGAAAAATTGTGGTTGTGGCCCGATTGTTCTTACTGCCTCTGCTATCCACATCGATCATCTCTAAACTCTTTAAGTTTTTCCATTCGGAAGTAATGTTGTTACTTTTTCATCTCTGTTCTTGAATCAGAGAGTTCGCAAAGCTCTTTCAAGGTCTTCAAATGGTAAGCTGCCTCTTCCTTGGTTGATACCGGAGCTATATCAGCACTGAAATCATCCAAGTCCTCAAAAACTGATTCAAGCAGATAAGAGCATCATTATTGGTAGTATCTTAGAAATATATCTTAGCAATATTTAAGTAAATATGTGTAAAAGTGATTGTTAAGAGATAGTATTTTTGAGTTAAGATTTTTGTGTGATTAATGGTAGGCTCTTAAAATATGGTTCTTAGAAAAAAAAAATTAACATAAAAATAAAATTTATAATTATAGAAAATTTAATAATAGTTGCAAATTAAAAAAATAAAACATACATGAGATACAATTTATAACATAAATAACAGAAAGCATAAATGTTTTATTCTAAAAATAATCAGGATATGTAAAATTAGGCGGGAAGTAATCGGATTAGGCGAGAAGTAATCGGATTAGACGGAGAGTAATCGGGTAACTGATTTCTTTAGATGATTAGTCATTAATCGAAGCGGATAGGGTGGACCTAGCGATTAAGCGGGGAATAATCGGGATAGGCGGGAATTTTTAGAACATGGTTCTTAGCTAAGGAACATTCCTTAGCTAAGAAACGTTTCTTAACATTAAAGCACAAAGTTGATTAAATTATATTGCATTAAATGTTAAGAAAAGCTTAAGATTTCTATAAGAGCTTGACTTTAATCATGCTCTAAGAGAAGTTTTTTCTCCAAAAAAAAAAAAAGCAGATAAGAGAAGTTTCTACTTTCTAACATCACTTTGAACCAACGAAAAGTGAATAATCCATAAATATGTTGGGCTAACTGGTCCAGTTGATCCACAGCCCAATTGTGAGCCCACTTCAAATTTTGGGTTTTTTTTGTAGATGTCGTAGTGAAACAACAAAGGTGAGTTTGGACTTTAAATTCAGTTCGGTTTAGACATTTTAAAGCGGTTCAGAATTTCCGGTTTGAGTTAACCAGAATTTTACTTAAACCATCTTCATGATCTCATATTCATAAATTCGTCAGTATCTACAAAACTGTGATTCTGTAGTTGCATGAAGATCAAAATGGACAACCTAACCAGATTAGATCTTTAATTTATCAATATTAAAACCATGTTGATGTTAATGATCATAAAATCATATCATTAATTCGTCATCACTGATCACATACAAATCTATGATTCTGTAGGTGCATGAAGATCAAAATGGACATGCAAATAAAGGGACCCCAGTTACCAAAATGTCAGACCTAATCCTGACCACATTTAATATATTAATTACTTCACTAACAATTATTGCAAACCATTTAATGGTTTTTTGAGTGTCCACGTTATCATCTGCAATTACACTCCTTAATTATTGCGCGTCATTACTATTAATTAAATACAACAATCTTTCTTAATCTCCTTTTCACTTTACTAATAAACCTTTACAAAAGATTTATGTTTTCTCTTTAGTACTTTCTCCATTGTTTAATAACTGATGTTTTAAGCTTATAATTTTGTTCTTAAATAGAGATGATGTTTTCAGTTTTCAATGAAAAATTAATTATTTTTTAATTGATTTTGACGATTTATATTCTGTTTATTGTTTTTTATTGGTTGATTAGATAATAAATGATGTTTTAGTTTAGAAATAAACAAAAATTAAATAATTTCTTAATCTACGTGCATTCTCCTAAAACATCACTTATTAAAAAAACGAAAAGAGTATAAGATTAACTCCAAAATTCAACTAAACTGTCACATTATTTGTATCTGCCGACTTAAACTTGATGGCATGGATTTTTCTCTATGGAAAGACATCCATACCATTTCTGCTATTCAAGATCCTGGCAAATTACTAGAGAAGAAGAATGCTCAATATAATTCTCAAGAAGAACTACATTCACAATCTTCTCTGTATTGTTATGTTGATGCCTCTTGGATTGACTCTAATAGGAATGCTGGCATTGGATGGATCCTCACTGATGCACAAGGTCGTAAGCTGCTGAAAGGCTCCTCAGCCATAGATCCTACCAACTCAGTTCTTGAAGCTGAAGCTATAGCACTATCACAAGCTGTCTTTCAAATCAAGCGTCTCAACTACAAACATGTGGTGTTCAGTGGCGATTCTGCTTCCTTATATCGTTACTTGGAGAAAGTTGGCATTTCATGCAATAAAAAGTCTGGGATTCTGGAGATTCAAAGGCACCTTGATGACATCATATCCCTAGCTAAAGACCATTATAGTTTTAAGCATGTTGCTAGGAATGCTAACTCTTTAGCGGATGCGTTAGCAAAAGCAGCTAGAACTAATAATTCTCCTTACGTTATCACTTGGGATCACTAAATATATGTAATGAACTCTTTGTACTAAGCTTTATCTTAATGGATAATTGGCCGACAAAAAAAAAAAAAAAAAAAACTTGATGGCTCGTTTTATATGTAATGAAAAACATATAAACATGTGCCATAAGTCGATAACCTCAAAATCTTTGATAAAACTAATAATTATTTTATATATTTGAATCATAATTTTAGTTTCATAGTAATAATGAGTTAATAAAGTTTATTTGATTGAATATTAGTCCTAACTCCTAAGTACACCTTATCATGTATATAATAAATACATGTCAATCTTCTTATATTCATAGATGTGGGGAAAAAAAGTATAGAAACCTTGACATAACTACTCAAAATAAATGAAGAAGAGATGACATTAACGATGGGTAGCAACACCAATACACTAATAATTGAAACAAATTACTCTTTCTGTCCCAATATATAAGATGTTTTAAACCTTTTCATTTGTTCCATTGTATAAGATTTTCTCTAATTTCAATGAATGATTTATATTAGTTTAATAGTTTTTAATTATTTTAATTATGCAGTATCTTTTTCAATTGGTTGAAGTTTCATAAATGAAAAAACATTTATTATTTCTTAATCTTTGTGCTTTTAGTCCAAACATCTAATAAAATGGGACAAAGATAGTAATAATCTTCGGTCTTCGTCCAAACACAGTAAATGTTTGGTCCATCCATGCTACACGAGCCAAATATTCAGCTTAGATGCCAAATCTGAACTCAAGCTGTAAAATATTTTTCCGACCAAAAAAGCTTTAAATTTCGTATATATCTTTCGGTTTTACAAAGATATCATTCTACATTTTTCACACATACTAAAAAAACTATTAAAATTTCTTCTATACCTTTTATCAATACATTAAAGATAATCATTAAAAATATTGAAAATTTAAAACAACATTCTTTGTGAAACAAAAATAAAACTTTAAAAGGACATTCTTTGTGAAGCGGAGGGAATATAACTTATATATAAATGATGCTTGAAAATTCAAGTGAATAGTCAATAACCAAATTAAATACTGTACATGTTAACATTTTGTGGAGAAAAGTTTAAGATCGAAAAGAATGGAAAGTACTTACTTAGTATATAAATGATACTCCCTCCGTTTCCTTATATAAAATTTTTGACGAAAAACAAGGAGATTAAGAAACATTTATTTAATATATAGAAAAACTTAATTCAACCAATTAATAAAACTATTACAGAATTTAAATAGTCATAAAATATTTAATAAATATATGTATTGCTAAAAACTTTTAAAAAAAATCAAATAAAATAAATTAACCAAAATTTGCAAAACATCTTATATAAAAGATTGAATGGAGTGTTATTTAATCTAGTTATTGCCAACTAATTTTGAGTTGGAACTCATGAAAATCAATATGGTATTAGAGTCTGAACACATATTCTCACGCTAATCTAATTAAAAAATTGTCCATCACCATCGAAAATAAACTTAATTAGTTTAATTTCCATCGAAATAAGCTTGAATAACATTATCTAATTTTTCATAGAATTTTATAAAATATATATTTATATGAAACAAAATGTTTAAGTGTAAAACATCTGTATTTCATGGAATACGAATTATTGTGCAACTAAAATTTATTGGAGTTGAAAATTTAGGTGGTGTGTAATGAAGGTGAGATGTATATGTTCAAGCACATTTAAAACATATGTTCCCATTCTTATTTGACGTGATTATTAAATGGCCACTAAATGAACAGCGCAAAGTTTAATTTAATACTAGTATTATTATTGATTTATTACTATCATCTTTAATTTAATCCCAACTACTCATATTTTATGGAGATTTTAGTTTCTTCGAGATCGATCACTAACCTATCACCACATCTGTCCAATTAAAGAGGAAGAAGAAACAAATCTTGGAGACAAGTATAAAGAGACTCACAAGTCAGAAAGTCACAACACTACAACAAAAATCAAACCAAAAAGTAGTCATAGATATCAAATTCTAATGGATTTTGTTCATTCAATGTTTATGCCTGATTCAACCTACGAAGATGGATTACTATTTTCTGATTCTTTTCTTCTTTCGCCTTTTATATCATACCAAAACAATGATGTTTGCAATCCGATCACAAACAAAATTGGTGGAAGCAATAAGAAACGAAGTTTGTGTGATACATATGGCGCGAATGAAGCCAACAAGAATGATGATGATCGGGAAAGCAAGAAGGTGAAACATAGAGACATTGAAAGGCAAAGAAGACAAGAAGTTTCATCTCTTTTCAAAAGTCTAAGGACTCTCTTGCCATTTCAATATATCCAGGTAACTTAATTATCTAGTAGGAGATATTTTATTTTGATTAGCTAAAGAATTACTTTATATTTTATATCTACATATATATATCCCTTAATTACTTACTAATTACAAAACCATTTCATTTTTAAAGTGCAAACGAGCAGTTTTCTTTCCATTGAAATGGAATATATATATAGAACCTTAGTGTTGAAAGATTTTACAAACTATTCTCTCATTCATGCTTTCATATATACTTTTTACTTTTTACATAAATTTATACATATTTAAGTCTTCCGTTATATATTGTGGTACCACTTTATATATAGAAGTAAATAAATTTACACATTCGTATAAGTTTTCACAATAGTAAACTCTTAAATAATTATTTACATTGATTTACGTATATGTATAACTTATTTGATGGTTTAAACAAATCACAGTAAAATTTATATCCGCGTTAAATATCTAAAATATAATATAAATTGAATTTTAGACAAACTCGAATTTGGATACCACATCAAGGAACATCCTCTCAAACTGATGAGCTAATTATTTTTTCCTAATTAACATTAGTAAATATATCCAATTACTCTACCTTTTTCTTAGCAACAGGCTTTCATGGTTTTCATGTGATTATAGCCCTTGAATCAAATAAATACTAGTTACTTGTTCTGAGCATGAACATATCATTTAATACAGGGTAAACGCTCGACATCAGATCACATTTTCCAGGCAGTGAACTACATCAAAGACTTACAAACCAAGATCAAAGAACTCAACGAAAAGAGAAATCAGATTAAAAAATCCATACGGGGCACAACTACTATAGAGGAATGCACGAGTAGCTTATCATCAACATCAACATTATCATCAAGCTGCTCATGTGTAGGAGACAAACACATTACAGTTGTGGTCACGCCTTGTTTGGTTGGTGTTGAGATCATCATGAGTTGTTGTCTCGGACGAAACAAGTCTGGTCTCTCGAGTGTTCTTCAAATGTTAGCTCAAGAACAAAGGCTCAGTGTAGTTAGTTGCCTCTCAACTAGACGGCAACAGAGATTCATGCACACCATTGTTTCTCAGGTAAAATTATTACTAAAAACTATAAACAGAAAAAGTTATGAAATAATATTACAAAACATTGGGTTTATCGTAATTGCTTATATCATTTTCAGCTCTGATACCATTTAATTTGTTATACAGATTATAATTTTCTGGTTTTCTAAAACCAATTGTGGAAATATGACGAATATACTTACATGAAATTAGTATTAGAAAATTTAAACTCAAATTACTAACTTCTATACAATTTTTTTTGTAGTATTTGACCATTTCCGGGCTTGATTTTCTAAAGAAAAAATTGCAATATTTTTTCCTAATTGTTCAAAAAAAACAACAGAGAAGTTCCTATTACCTCTTATAACATTCTTTCCATGATTCAATTATATATGTTAATAAACTACGCATTGAATTTGGAGTTGGATAGTAATATATAATATATCATTAGTAATAATACGCTATATGGCCATAAATCTTGATAGAATAATTAATCATCATTTCATTATTCTTGTGTATAGGCATTAATATATCATGGTTTCAAATTTTCAGATGGAGGATGATGGCAAAAAGATCAATATATTGGAGCTTAAGGATAAAATAATGAATATGTAGCCATGTACAAGAAGAAATATAGTTGATATGAAAAATGCAAAAGTGCGCGACTTTAAATTGGAATTTTACTGAATTTCAATGTATGTATTATTTGAGTTGTTAGATACTAAGATCATGTTGTTTTAGTGTTTCGGCTTACTGTTGAGTGCTTAGAGTTAAGGTTACAAACTAATGCTTGTTTTTCTTTTCTTTTCTTTTTGTAAAATAATGCTTATTTTTCTTGGCATCGATCGTATAATCTTCTTCCCGGCAAAATATAAACAATTGACATTCTAATTATGCTATATTTCATTTTAATTAGTAGTATTACAATAAGAAATATATCCCAAGGTAAAGAATACCTTGTTACACCAAAAGATTATGATCGTTATAAGGGTCTGTACGTATATCTAATCTCTCATATAGGAAAAAACATCTCCAATTTCTTCAATCATCTCCTCCCCCGCGCGCCGTTTTCGATAGACATGCATATGCAAGTCCAATCTTGTACAAACGAAAAGTGAGAGACACCAATTTTAGTAAAAGCTTAGGCAAAGTGGTCATTACAAGAAACATGAGAGATCTTTGACTGGCTTCTTGTACTAGCTGTACTTGGCGATATGAAAATGATAATCAATATTTTCCGTGGGAGTGAAACAACCTGTTGGCCAACAATTTTTCCATTAACATTCCTTTCAAAACCGGTCACTAGTGAATTTTAAAACTTGATAGAAATAAAAATTGGGACCATATAACTAAACTTGTAACAAAATCCAATGGTAACATATTAATATTGTACGTTCATTTTGAAAGTTGAATGAATAATTAAATAAAGAATCTAATTTGTAGCTTTCTTTAGATATCATATCATCATGCAATTAATAGATTTATATGCTTTAGGAGAATGTCGACAGTATCCTTAGTTCGAGAACTGGTTGTGGAGGTTAGCCTAATTGGTCTTTGGTCCGAATATGATACGTGGTGTCAAAACAATTTCTCTCTCATAATGTATAACAAAAGAAAAGAAGCAATCTCATTAGGGCATCCTTAATGGGGGAACTGTTTTGGGTGTTCTTAGAGTAAGAATATTATTAAAATAATGTAAGATCATGAGTTTAGATCTTTTGTTAATAAGTTGGTTATTGGGAGAACATGTGTAAGATCATAAGATTTAATAATATAATAATAAAAAAATATTACAATTTTAAAAACTTTAAAAAATAACATTTAAATTGAAAACATAAAAAACTTATACTAAAATTCAAAATACAAGACCAAATTTTTATGAAACAAAAAACATTAAATAATATATAAATCTATAAATAAAGTGGTATATGATGAAGAGAAACAATATACACAACGAAATTTTTTTTACGCAAGTGATCTTGTCATGTACTTATGGGGACAGATAAAAAATTTGGAGGGTACAATTTTGAAAAGAAAAAATCAGAAAGCATATGTAACAAAAAAACGAATGTTAAGAGATTTTTGTTTTCTTTAATTTAGAGACTAATACATATTGACTTGATTCTTTCGGTAGAACAAATGTTTTCTCATTTGGAGGCATTGATGAATTTGTCCACAGCCCACGTGTGCTAAAATTCGGAACCACTAGAAAAGTGCCACGTACACCGAAGAACAAGGGTTAAAACACATCTTGGGCAAGATCGATTCTCTCTGATCCAAGCCCACTATTCATTATTTCCCAATTTTAATAATGTGAAGAACATGACCCAAGTTATGCCACTGCAGATGGCCTTATTCTGCCAGTGATTAATAAATGAAGTGATATGTTATCAACTTAACACCTTTTGTTATAAATTTGACCAAAACAAAAAAAATAATGAGAAAAAATATAAAGACATTCGAAAGTAAAACTAACTAAAATAATTAGAATGCGAAGGGAGGCGCAGACCAAAACAAACATGAACGCACGTCCATTGCTTACTTGTTCATACTCTTCTTTCTTAGTGTTTCTCACGTTGACACCAATTTTTTGCCTTTCATTTTTAGGGAATTTTTTTAAACCATTGTATTCGTTATATATATGAAAATCTTATGCATTAGTAAGACTTGGCTTTACAGAGAGAAAATAAGAGTAGGAGCCCTCAAGAAAACAGAGTAAAAATGGATCAAAATTTGTATCGCAAGTGCTTGGTTATTTTATCAATGATGGCACTGATCGGCACATCAATGGCGGCATATGCGGGGACCCCATGGCGTACGGCCTCAGCCACTTTTTACGGTGATGAGACCGGCAGCGCAACTATGGGTAAAGTCCATATACTTCTACATTCTATTGTATGTAGAAGTAGAACACAAACTATATATGACTCGATTGCATATAAATTATTTAAAACGATTGTTTGTTTGTTTGCATTTCTATGTTTTAATATACTAATCATATATCATAACATAAAAATGCAAACACGATGAAACAATTATGGCTTATATATAAATACATAAATCTTTATTTTCGAAGATCGTTAAAATGTATTGACAATTTTTAACATGACCATGTATACCGATCAGGTGGGGCTTGTGGCTATGGTAACATGTGGGACAGCGGCTACGGCGTAGCCACGACTGCTCTGAGCACAGCTCTGTTCAACGACGGTTATGCATGCGGTCAATGTTTCCAGATAAGGTGTGTGTCATCGCCTAACTGCTACTACGGTTCACCAGCCACCGTGGTGACTGCCACCAACATATGTCCACCAAATTATGGCCAAGCTTCCAACAATGGTGGATGGTGTAATCCACCACAAGTCCATTTTGATTTGGCTAAACCAGCTTTCATGAAGATCGCTAATTGGAAGGCTGGTATCATCCCCCTCTCATACCGCAGGTAATATCCACTAGACCAATATATATAGATAAGTACATAGTAATTAAATAGTGTATATACTATTACAATTTTTACTTTTTTGGAAGGGATGTGTATATACTAACGTTGTATATACTATTACGATTGAAAACGTAAAGAAATTCTTTATATAACCATTGTGAAATTCAATATATTTATAATCAAATATATTTAAATGAGATCTTGTCCGAATGCACATTTTGCACATGCTAAAATACGATGATTTTGTTTATATATATATGCAGAGTGGCATGTAAGAGAACCGGAGGAATAAGGTTTAAATTTGAAGGAAATGGGTATTGGCTACTTGTGTACGTGATGAACGTAGGTGGTGCAGGTGACATCAAGACCATGGCCGTGAAAGGTAGCCGCACAGGCTGGATCAACATGAGCCATAATTGGGGAGCTTCGTACCAAGCCTTTTCTTCTCTCTACGGTCAGTCTCTCTCGTTCCGGCTCACCTCTTACACCACTCGTCAGACCATTTACGCTTATAATGCTGCTCCGGCTAGCTGGAGCGCCGGCAAGACCTACCAGAGCAAGGCTAATTTTAGCTGATTTAGGTCATATTCAATTCCGAAAACCCGGTTATTTGAATTTACGGTTTTGCTACTTGTTCTTGAGGCTGATCGATCCAGAGTTTGATCTTTTTCTAATTAATAACTACCTTTTTTTTATTTTTTTTATTTTTTTTAATTAATAACTCCCTTTGATTATATGGTAGTCATTAATTCTTATATATCCATCATTGGTTGAGGAAAAATTGTTGATTTTTTGTGTGTTTAATTTTTTGAATTTTCTTTTCATTTATATTTTAGCATCAAAATGAATGATGGGATCATTAGTACTTTTTTCTTATGAGAAAATGACTTTCAAGAGTTATCAATAAATATGACAGAACGATATGATTTGCCAATGTATGATACTCACTACTTTCTAATATAAATATCTTTTGACAATTTTGATGCGAATTAAGAAAGTTAATTTGTAGACAATAGTATATTTTTAGAAAATAATTGATTTTTGGTTGCACGAAAAAATACGAACAATTAATTGATTTTTAAAAAATCTGATCTATTTCATACTTTACAATTAACTTTGATTAGAGTAAAAATTAGGAATTTGTAAAAGAAAATTAATACAAAAAACAATAAAACCTCACTTATTTTTAAAATAGAAAAATATTCTAATACGTACACTTTACTCAAAACAATCTCACGCCGCCTATAGTTTCATACCCCCAAAAAAAATTAGATTAGTATATAAAAATATACATATATACATAAAGATATCTATCAAATAAAAGCAAACCTGTCCCTTCAATCCAAAGCCTTCACCAATCTCATAAAAAAAAAGAGAAACTCATTTCTCATGATCGACTCTTCCTCTACACTTCTTCTTCTCATCTTCTCATCACAACACTCAAACGTGAACAATAACTCCACCAATATCGAAAATGGTAACACCAACACTCTATCTTCCCTTTCTTCAACTAATAATAATCGTATTATTCCTCTTCCTTCCTTCTCATCTAGAGGGTTCGACTTCTTCTACTACTACTACTACTACTCAAGAAGCTCTCAACGAATCCTCAAGGCTTCTTGATCTCATTATAAGAGACTACACTCTCAACTTCTTCAAGAACCAACGTTATTCAATCAAGACCGGTGTTCCACGGCGTGTTCATCTCCCGTCTAACTACTCCGGCATAAAACTTGACGCCGTTAGGTTCCGGTGTGGGAGTCTCCGGCGATACGGAGCTCAAATCGAAGAGTTCCATATTGGCGTTGGAGCAATTCTTGAGCCGTGTGGTGAGCGTCTTTTGGTTGTGAGACAAAGCTTGGGATCAAACTGGTCCGATATATATTACAAAAACTATGATCTCTCTGGTTATAGACTCGTGTCTCCGGTTCTAGGGCTCTTAGCTTATAACGCGTTAAATGACGTAGTTTTAGGGAATAATGTGAGCAGCTCTTATCAGATAAGTCTCCTCCTTGCCGGTGCTAAAGATCCATCGACCGTTGATTTTGGGAACGTTTCTGGACCGTCGGTGGTGGAGAGAACGTTCTTGAATAAGCCAATGTGCGCTACTTTCGAGCTCGACGGAAAAGTAACGCTTGCCGGAGAAGTGAAACCGTTTGTGTGCGCCGTTAAAACCAACGGACATTTTGGTTTAGTGGTAACGGATGATCCAAAATCGAATGGTGGAGGCGAGAAGGAGATGAAGAAGGAGAAGATCGGACGGTGGAGAAAGGTTGTTGGAGGGCTTGTTGGGTCTGTGACGGTGGGGGTGGTGCTTTTAGGGCTGGTGGTGGCGGCTGCGGTGGTGGCGGCGAAGAAGAGGCGGAGAAGGGAGAAAAGGGAAGAAATGGAGAGAAAAGCTTATGAAGAAGAAGCTCTTAGAGTAGTGTCAATGGTGGGGCATTCTAGGGCTTTCGTTGCTTCTGCTACAAGGACTTCTCCACGTTTCATGGAACATGAGTTTGTTCCTAATTAATTAATTATATTCACGTGTTATTCCGTTTTTGTGGATTTTTTTTATATTTTTTCAATTATTTTTTCCTTTTATAAAACAAGTTTTAATTTATTTTAAAATGTATGTTGTTGGGAGTTTTGGGACATATATATACTCTTTCTGTTTTAAATTATATGTGGTTAAAAGTTTTTTCAAACAAACTAAGAAAACAAATAATTTTTTTGTTTTATCTTTTATTTATGTATTTTATGATTTTTTCATTGGTCAAGACAATAAAACCGTAAAAATAAAGCCAGAATGTTTATCAAATATCTGCATTGAAATTTTAAAACGACATCTATTATAATTTTAAATACTAAAACGACATTTAATTAATTGAAACGAAAAGAATACTTCATTGGTGATAAGACATGTACGGTGATGAATTTATATGGTAACACCGTTAGTACTTAGAGCAACATCAATGGCACACCTTAAAGGGCTCTTAGCCTAATTTCTTAAAATTTTAAGCCCAAATTTAATTTAAAACAGTTCTTAAACCCAAGCAACGTTTCTTTCTTTAGAGTTGTTTGGCCTCTTAAAGTGCGTTGATGTGGCATCGTTCTATTGGTTCGTAATCAGAGAAAACAAACAAAAAAAACCACACCCGATTCATTTTTCTCGCATCTCTCTCTCTCTCTCTCTCACCTTGTTCTCTCCGTCGACGATTTTCTGAGAGATCGGCGTTGAGCTTCAGAAACCGGCGTATACATCATCAAATTGGAAGCTAAAGGCGACATCTCTTAATACACTCGTGACTCTCTTTTGTAAATTGGTTTGAATGTATTTTTTTGTTCTTCAAGGCCAAGTTCTTTAGTTTCTCTATATATACAAAACGAACACTTCTCTTCTTCTTCTCCAAAACAATATTCTCCTTCTTCTTCTCCAAAACAATCTTCTCCTACTCCTTCTCCAACGCATTCTTCTTCTTCTCAATCTACATACAAAACATTCTACTTTGTCTCCAAAACATTCTTTTTCTGTTCCAAAACAATCTAAACCATTTATATAAAACATTCCTTTTCTTCTCCAAAAAAAAATATACCATTTCTCAAAATGGGATCTTCTTCAAATTATAATCTCAACGAAATGTTGAACGATAAATTTGATCAATATACCGACGAAACATTAGAGAATTATGGTGATCGTCAACAAGTCAAGAAAAAGAAAAAACGAGCATATATTGAAAGAGATCGTGAACAAGGTCACATCCAGTTATGGAACGACTATTTCTCTGAAGATGCAACATTCCCTCCGCATATGTTTCGACGCCGTTTCAGAATAAACAAGCACTTGTTCATGCGTATTGTTGATCGACTCTCCAATGAAGTTCCATTCTTTGAACAAAAAAGAGATGCTACCGGAAGGCTCGGTTTCTCGGCACTACAGAAGGCTACAGCAGCAATTCGTATGTTGGCATATGGTCATGCGGCTGATCCGGTTGACGAATATCTCCGAATTGGTGAAAGTACTTCGATGTCATGTTTACACCATTTTGTTGATGGAATCATCTATTTGTTCGGAGATGAGTACTTAAGAAGACCCACACGAGAAGATCTTATACGACTACTCCATATTGGAGCGGGACGTGGATTTCCCGGGATGATAGGAAGCATAGATTGTATGCATTGGGAGTGGAAGAATTGCCCCACAACTTGGAAAGGGCAATATACATGTGGATCCGGCAAACCAACAATCGTTTTAGAGGCTGTTTCTTCCCAAGATCTTTGGATATGGCACGCGTTTTTTGGACCTCCAGGTACCTTAAACGATATAAATATTCTTGATCGATCACCAGTTTTTGATGATATATTACAAGGTAAAGCTCCGAAAGTGAAATACGTAGTCAACGGGAACGACTATCATTTGGCTTACTATCTCACAGATGGCATTTATCCTAAATGGGCTACATTTATCCAATCTATTTCTATTCCACAAGGTCAAAAAGCTTCTTTATTTGCTACAAATCAAGAAGCTTGCTGCAAAGATGTTGAACGTGCTTTTGGAGTTTTGCAAGCTCGATTTGCCATTGTCAAAAATCCGGCTCTTATTTAGGATAAGGTAAAAATAGCAAAGATTATGCGAGCATGTATAATTCTTCATAATATGATAGTAGAGGATGAACGAGATGGGTACACTCAGTTTGATGTCACTGAATTCGAACACCCGGAATCAACCACATCTTCACAAGTGGATTTCACCTATTCTACAGATTTGCCTTCAAATCTCGGTAATATGATGGCCACTCGATCCGAAATACGTGATCGGACTAAGCATGAACAACTGAAAGCTGATTTGGTTGAGCATATTTGGCGACAATTTGGCATAAACTACGCTAACGACTACTCGTTATTCCGTTTTTTTTTTTGTATTTTTTTTTTTGCTTTTATGCCTTATATGTTTAAAATTCTTAGAAAATTGTAATATTTATTAAGTTTTATTATATACAAATGTTTATAATTTTCCATTTTAAAAAATATATTTTTTTAAGAAACCTAGTTAAGGACTCACCATTGGACAAAGAAAATTTTAAGGATTCATCAAAAACTCTTAACTTTAAAATTATTGAAAAGTAAGATTAAAATATGTTTAAGGATCCTTTTAAGGACTCATTCATTGGGGTTGCTCTTAGTAGTAACTAGTAAAGAAAATCAAATGAGCAAAAATACATTCAAAGTCATTGATAACAATTAAACATTATCATTTTTATTTTATATTTTTTTGAAAAAATGAAACATGATCATTACCTACTCGTTAATTAATGAGGAATGAAGAATTATAATTTGATGAAAATATGCCGTCTTCATAAAAATAAAATATGTTTATTGAAGAAAATCTACAACTAAATTTAACATTAAAACCAAAAAGAATAAAAAAAAATCTACCTCTATTCTAAATTTCTATTGGTAGTTTTCTTTCTTCTTTTTTTGAGGAGCCAGTCACCTAGGAAACGTTTTATGCTATATTAACATCACACAAGTAAACAATTACAAACACATGTGTACAAGTGTTTGGGCTGTGAGACCTTAATGAAGTACCCAATGAGAATTACTTTTAGGTCCACCAAACTCAAAATATTATATATAGATATAATTAGTTGAGAGACAAAGATTTGGGAGGAAATAAAATTTTTTGGTAAAATGTTGTCGGACCCAAAACAACGTAAATAATTAGCCCACTATTTGCCCTTTTTTGCCCCTACGCGCTTCTCCATTTCGACACGATCCGGTTTCATACTTGAGACATCAATGTGTTGTGAATGGAAGTCCAAATTTTTTTATAGATCTATGTATATATTTTGCATGTTGTCTCTTTCGTGTGCCGCCAACGTTTATCCTAAGTCAGGTACTGCTCCCTTGCTTTGTTCGACGGTTTGGATTCGATAATTGTAGTATATGCATTGTAGCGTACATATAAATATACAAATGTTAATAACGCTCTATATATGTGTTTACATGTATATAAATGTTAATAATGCTCCATGTACGTGTTTACATATACACAAATGTTAATAACGTTCTATATATATATGTATTAACATATATACATAGACCAAATTATTTAACACTATAATTATTTCTAACGCTCTATGTATGTGTTTATATGTATACAAATGTCAAAATCATATATGATATTCATTGGGTGTCCATGCAATTAGGTTAGTTGTTTAAAAAATTCGAAGAACTATTTATTGGGTGTCCATGAAACTATGTTAGTTGTTTACATTTTTCGATTTCCGTCTAAAACTGCTTCCGTTACGGATTCAAAATTCATATATAAAGCTCAAATAAAGTCATTGCATTTAATAACTATCACCTCGTTGTTTCTGTCAATAGCAGTTCATTAATTAGTTGTCAGAGTGTTCTTTCGTTAGTTCGTAGAGGCAAAAAGCCAGTCCCACGCGCAGGTTGAGGAGAGCAGTTGGTTATTTCGTAATAAGTAACAATCATGAACCTATTTCTAACGTCTTTTGTATCGTTGTCTTGGACTTCCATCACTAATGTCTTTCAGCTAATTTCATACCCCAATTTTACCTCTGCACTAATTCACTCTTATATATATGGCCCAAACATAAAATCACTAAAACTGAGTATCGTGTCACTAATCTCATTGTTGTTTGATTAATGGTCGCATTATTATAAGTTGAGAAGTAGTTTTCATAGGAAAGGGGACCACAAATTGTTTCAGATGTGAGATGTCTTAAATCTTAGGCTTAAGAGAACGACAATTCTGTCCCTCTTTTCTTTGTTTCGACCAACTCTGTCTTTGTCTCTCTTTATTTTGTTTCTCTCATAATTCTATATTAATGAATATTTTTGATTTTTTTTCTGGTTAAAATATATTAGAATGAAGAAGTATTCATTACAACGAATATTTTTGATTTCATTGCGTAAAACAAAAGGAAGTTTGTAAACTACATAAGAAATAGAAATTAGTTTTTCCTTATTGGTTAGGCGTGTATCTTCTTCTCCTTTTTATTTAATTTAATGCAAAATCGTTTTTTTTTTTTATTTGTCTTTTTCCTTTATGTGTAACCGATAAATCATGTTCTGAAAAAAAAAAAAAAATCATGTTCTGTTACTTAATTTAATTAAGAGTAATTGCAATGGAATACCAAAGATTTAAGAATATTATTTTTGTTAAATTTTATGGATTTAATATTTTGAACGGGCTATTACATGTTTATATGTAACAAGATTTTTGTTATTTTGAACGTGACTACTAATATGACGTTACAGAGAAGAGTGTCCGGGATTAACATGCGTATAGAAACACATATTGGTTATTTCAGTTTCATTGATAATTTTTTAAAAATAGATTAAAATTCGAAATCAGTTTGGTAGTATTCATATATTTATCGTTGCCTTGTCCAAATATATCACCAATCAGTCTCTTTCAATTACCTCAAGTAGTACATATCATAGTTTGTGTTGATCGTTCTCTCTTTCTAGTTAAAACAATAGCATCTAATTTATTAAATAATTAATCAAATAAAACTCTAGAAATTAACAGTATCGATGCATAGGAATCTGCAAAATCCTTTTATTCCTCTTTCCCAAGTGAGTGATGGGCCAAAAAGAAATGAAAATAAAAGTGATTACCAAAAGAAAAAAATTGCGTTTTCTTTGGTAGGTCCGAAAGTAAGAGAAAACAATCTTTAATCTTTTCCCATTGGCAAATTCTTTATCAAAATATATATTCCACTGAATCTGAATTTAAATACATGTCAAATGAACGTTCACATCAACAGCATATAATATTACAGGTGCAGTTTTTTTTTTCTTTTACAGGTGCAAATCTAATTTGGTTTAAAATAAGACTAGTAAGTCATTCATACTCGTATACTGGAAAAAAAAATACCAAAATTATTTGAAACTTCACAATGGAAAGAGAACAATAATCCATTTTTTAGTAGCCAATATTTCACCGACCAAGCAAAAAGCACATATGTATGTGTAGTTTCCCGTTTATTGGAGAATAATATATTTTCGTTTTTAGTTGCCGTCCAAAATTTTTATTAGTTTAAAAAAAAACTCTTAGTTTATTGCTTTTATTAGGTATCTTTTTTTCCATTAGGTATCTTTTATCTCAAACCATACTCGATAAATCGAAATTAGAAAACTTTGACAAAAATAAACGAAATTAGAAAATTGCTGCTATGTTTGGTTCCACAATATGCTAATATACCTTGACGTAAAGCTATGGAAAAGTGCACATTAACAACGTGCTTTACAAAAATCATAAATACGTGTATATGTATAAAATGTAAGAAAAAAAAAAATTCAAACACTTTTTTCTTCTCGTGACAATGATTTAAGACCTAATAAGTGATTCAACAACTAGAACTTAAAAATTAGTTGAAATTTTTTGAAAAAGAATGAGGAAAAGAAAATATCTTCCCACCTTTAACGACAGGACCGGCAGACACACCTAATCCTCTAACATCCACTTAACAAGTAACACCTAATTACTAATACTATTTAATAGAACAAATATAAAAAATTTCCTTTTGATAAAGATCAAATATAATTTTTTATTCATTTCAAATATTAAATATTATGTGATACAGCTTTGATGCACCATTTCTTAGTCATATAACCTTTAAACAGTAAAACTCAGATAGTCTATTTCTGAATTAAGCAAATTCATTTGCAGTATTATCTAGTATAATTTTTTCAGGTAACTTGGTTCTCCTAAATTAATTCAGATTAATTGTAAAGATAACAATCACGGCCATATAAAACAATCTACGTGTGCGTGTGTTTGAATTCATATTTTCTGATAAAAATTATTAATTCTAGTTTTGAGTCTTTTGATTAACAAGACAAAAACTATGCTTTTCTATATAATCTGATTTATAGAAAAATAATATCTTACGAAAGAAAAATTAGTTAGTGTTTTTCAGAATGATTAAAACGTAAATCGAATTATGTTTCAGAATAATTGCGTTTGTCTCAGCTTTTTATATATTTAATTTTAATATTAGTGTATATATTATATTAGTTTCACTTAGAATTTAATATACTGTACATAGAAATGATACAAAGTTAATAAAAAAAAAAACAAAAAAATTGAAAATGTATATGGTTGGCCGGACCAGTCCCGTGTATGATAAACATTGTTTTAAATGTATTTTGTATATAAATAAGACAAAATAATCTATAAACAAATAATGTATATTTTTAGAAAAAAAGGAGTGTAAAACAATTAAAGGGGAAAGAAATCAAGACAGCTTTATATACGTTGATTTCATCTGATCATCCTCTCTCTCTCTCTCTCTCTCTCTCTTTCTCCAATCATATGAACAAAATAATCGGCTTCAAGAATTAGGGTTTTGATCAGTCACAAAAACGTATCTCTCTCCGTAGTCTTCGGCCAAGAATATGCAAGAAGCGGCGCTAGGTATGATCGGAGCCACCGTAGGCGGAGACGGAGACGCCCCGGCGGTGGCGGAGCAGAATAGACAGATGAAAGGTGAGATAGCGACACATCCGATGTATGAACAATTATTAGCCGCACACGTGGCATGTCTAAGAGTAGCTACTCCGATAGATCAACTTCCGATCATTGAAGCTCAGCTTTCTCAATCTCATCATCTTATCCGTTCTTACGCTTCCACCGCCGTTGGATACTCCAACCATGATCGCGAGCTCGATAATTTCTTGGTACGTTTGAAAATAAATTAATTCGTTATATTTTAAAAAATGAATCTTGTTTAATTAAATTACGTACAATTAAGTTATGTTTCTTTGATTTTATTTTGACAGTTTTTTTGATGATTTCTTGTGGACTAACTTTGAATGAAGTTATGATTACTAACCAATCTTTGTTGAGAAATTATGTTTCAAACAAATTATGCTTTTCAATGATTTTCGTGGTTTACTTTTACAAGATCGTTGGGCAACAATTTATATAAATTTATAATTACTAATTAATCTTGTGGGCAATTAAAAAAAAAAAGAACCACTAATATGTTTTTTCAATGATTTTAATTAGTGGTTCTTTTTTTTTTCTTACCTTGTTTTTGTGAAAGAAGTGATTTTTTCAACTTTCTTGGAAATTTACGTATCTACATACAATTTCCAAATGTATTATACACACACATAGACATTTGTATGAATATAGTTTTGTGCCAATATAGTTAGGTGCTAAATTCACATAGAGTGAGTCAATGCTAAATATCATTTTGTAAGTAAATTGAAATCTATTTAAACTTTGAATACATGGCGATTGATTTTCTATTCCAAACTAAAATTTACAAATGCATTAAAGTCGAATTGATATTGCAACTATAATTTTGGAATTAGCTTGCGAAATGTTCCAAAAATAGATTCGGCTTCATTTATATTTATGTAAATTAGGTAGAAACTAGGACTATATAATGATCTAACCGCTCAAAAACACACCACACCAGAAGCACATATTTATATGCTTGTATACATATATGTGGAAATGTTTATTAAATTTAAATGAATTGAATATATAATTATATGAAATGTGAGGATGTAAAATAAAATAATAATAATTATTTTTAACTGGAAGCAGGCACAATATATAATGGTGTTGTGTAGCTTCAAAGAACAGCTGCAACAGCACGTGAGGGTTCATGCCGTCGAAGCTGTTATGGCTTGCCGTGAAATTGAGAACAATCTTCATTCTCTTACAGGTTATTTTCTTTTCTACTTTTTAATTGTATTTTCTATAACCCAATTAAAACCATATCTTCATGATAATTAATGTTACTATATACGCCACATAACTACAGAATTAGAAAGTAGAAGATATAATTAAAATTAGCGATATTTAAAACAAATAATAGAGTTAGGTATCTAAAGGTTCTTGCTGATCATACCAGATATGAACAATTTGTAAACATATTAAATTTAGTGTGTTGAGAGATGATGATGAAGAATATATTATATGCTCACACAATAAGATTAAAAAAAAGAAAGATATAGAGATTCTATTTGTGCTTATATTATATGATTGCTAAAGATGAAATTCCCATTTTTGCATTGATATCCACATAAAGCGAGTGCTATATTGTACCTTGTAAGCGTAAGGCCTATTAGGTTCTTGTAAGCGTAAGGCCTATTAGGTTTGAGCCTAAGTTTGGGCTTGGGCTTGACGTCTATATGTTGTAGTTGGAGTAACATTTCGTTTAAAACTCTCTATTCTGGTAGGAGCAACGTTAGGAGAAGGGTCAGGTGCGACTATGTCGGAGGATGAGGATGATATTCAGATGGACTTCTCGTCTGATAATTCCGGCGTTGATTTTAGCGGCGGCCACGATATGACGGGATTTGGTCCGTTGCTACCGACTGAATCGGAAAGATCTCTTATGGAAAGAGTCAGACAAGAACTTAAACTCGAACTCAAACAGGTAAACTAAAATGTTATGGGTCACAAAAATATTACGTTTATGTTACTTTTTTTTTTTTTGTAATGATATTTGTTTATTTTTCGGATAAGGGTTTTAAATCAAGAATTGAAGATGTAAGAGAAGAGATAATGAGGAAAAGAAGGGCTGGGAAATTGCCAGGAGACACAACTACTGTCTTGAAAAATTGGTGGCAACAACATTGCAAGTGGCCTTACCCTACTGTGAGTATCTTCGTTTTATATTTTATGAAGCATCAAATTAAATATACTATATAGGTCTAATTATATGTTTGCGCTCACGTTTTCATGAAATATAATAGTCTAATCACTACAACATGAAACAACAAATGCAGAAGCAAATGTGAACGCAAAGAAACAATCAAGAACCATTTGGGTCTACGCTCAATATATGCATTTTTTGGTTTTGTTTTCCTTCTTAAAATGCTTAAATGCATCAAAATATTCATAGGAAGAAAGTAGATAGAGATTGAGAATTACAATGTGATTAATTAACAACAGCAAATTTATAATGTAAAAAATATTTGATTTGAACAGGAAGATGACAAGGCAAAATTGGTGGAGGAGACAGGATTGCAGTTGAAGCAAATCAACAATTGGTTCATTAACCAACGCAAGAGGAATTGGCACAACAACTCTCACTCGCTCACTTCCTTGAAGTCCAAGCGCAAACACTAATCTCTTCTTACTATATATATTAGTTCATTTTCATACTAATTACATCGCTTAAATCATGCATGATATATATGTAATTCATGTTGTTGATAAAAACGAGGTGTGATCATTAATATCTTGTACTACTTACTTAGCTTATCAAATCTCCCTCAACCCCCATATGATTTGTGCTTTGAGTGATTACTGTTTGTTACTAGATTGTAATTCATTTTTTTGTTTTTTATTGTGCATTCAAATATATTTTTTTGGTACGAATTGAACACCCTAATTTTGTAACGTGTTTTCCGTGGTTGACTAGACCATCATTTGGAAATATATAAGTAATGATGCCGACAAAAAAAAAAGGCAATGTTTTCATTATTTATAAAATATATGCCATATCATATATCTTTGGACCGATATATGAAAGAAATCGTCCATAAAAATGGAATTAGAATCATTCCAGTTTAGATTATTGGTTTCAAATTCTCAAAAACTTATTAACGGAAAGTTTTCTAGTTCTTTGTTTGATACTAAGATTTGTGTAACTTAATATTTTCAAACGAGTTTACAAATTATACCGAGAAATAGATATGTGGTATTCATTAAAAAAAATAACTCTCGAGATTGAGAACTTGGATCTTAGAAAAGTCACTACATGCCGCCATCATTTGTCCACTACGATTCAGACAGAAGATCCGATCTGTTTATATATAAAAGTAATACATTACTTTATGGTCACCCCCAATTGCAATTTGATTCTCATAGTCTCATACTACAACATCAAACTACTAATTAATTTGACAAAAAAGAAGTACTGACTAGTTAATTAAATGAAT